CAACTACTTCACATGTTTACAACTTTGAACAAGTCTTTTGCGTTTTTCCTTTGATTGGTGGCCACGTTTAATGAGGAGATTACCTTTCATTGTATAAGTAATAAAATGATAAGAAAAACTCGTATTGCAGAAGGTGCAAGTTTCTTCCGAGATTTTCATAGTTATGTAAAATTGATATTGAAATTTGGACGTGGCTTTGTTACAGGAGTAAAGCTGCAGAGGTTACTTGGGAATATTGAATTTATAAATGTATCTTTTCACTATCCTTCAAGGCCAATGGTATAGCTCTTCTTTTTATAATATCTTCATTTGGCTTCTCAAAAACATGTGATGCTCTTTTCGGTGCTGAAAACAATTGCTTCAATGCATTATGAGTAGTGCTGGAATAATTTGTGCATTGTTAATCCATGAAGTTGTGAATTATGTTATTTCTTTTGAAGATTCAACTCGTATTTGTAATATAAATTGTGAAAACGTCTGAAAATAAATCAGGTTCAGGTTCTTTCTTTGAGAAAAAGAGGGAGGGGGAGGATGGAGAGTTTTATGACTGTATGGTGCTTCTATCTCATTCGTTGTCGTTATCTTCATTTTATCACTTATATCTTGAATAAAAATGCAATTTCTGATGTGAGTAGCATGCTTTTACTGTGATGGATATTAATATCTTGACTTGACAATATCTCTGCCAGCCCTTGTCCCTTTGCATGGTCTTCCTCCTAAATATAAATTTGTTGCGCACATGCATAGGGTTAACACTCATGTTGTCACCAATAGGTGCACAACTAATGAACAATCATTGTAACAGGTATCTGTAGTGCGGCATGTAAATTTTGCTGTTCGACCTGGTGAGGTGGTTGCCATAGTAAGAAACTACTTCAAATGTTTTTAATGGTTCCTCATCTGCACAATGACTGAGATATTAAGTTCTCATTTCCTTTATTTTTACATAGGCTGGTCTTAGTGGCAGTGGAAAAAGTACACTGGTGAACCTTCTGCTCCGCTTATATGAGCCCACCAATGGTCAGGTAGCATTAGTTTAGCTTCATATTTAAAATTTAATATTAGAAATATGGGAATCGGATAGTTTGGCGCTTCTAGCATTGAATTAGAAAGGAACAGCTGAAAAAAGGATCTGTGATATGAAATAGCTGTTGCTGAGAGAGGGGAAAAAGAGATTCAGTCACTTTTTTCTGTCATTTCTTTATATATTGGTTAATGTTTCTGGGGAACTAGTTAGGTAGTAACTGTTTTGTGACCAGTTATGCTCTACATTAATATGACTTGAGTAGATGGTTTTTACTTGAAGGGGTGTGTGTGTGTGTGTGTCTTTTTCGTTTTTAATGTTAAGTTTGATTGCAGATTTTGGTTGATGGCGTCCCTCTTAAAGAGTTGGACATCATGTGGTGGAGAGAAAGAATTGCATTTGTTGGACAGGTTAGTGATTTGCCAACATGGTGGAATTACAGTGACTTAAAAGTAATTTCTCCTGACCCTAAAAATTTTGTCTGTACAGGAACCTAAGCTCTTCAGAATGGATATTGGTTCAAACATAAGATATGGATGCACTCGAGAGATTAAGCAGGAGGATGTTGAATGGGCTGCAAAGCAAGCTTATGCCCATGACTTCATCTCAGCACTTCCTAATGGCTATGAAACACTTGTTGATGATGATTTGTTAAGTGGGGGACAAAAGCAGCGAATTGCTATTGCTAGAGCTATTCTTAGGGATCCAAAAATATTGATCCTTGATGAAGCCACAAGTGCGCTGGATGCTGAGAGTGAGCATAATGTCAAGGTCTGCTTCCAAATGCTACCTAAGGCCACTTGGCAGTATAGACTATAGGCACCATAAATTTGAGAGAAAGATATATTGATGATTGAGTCTCCTTTATCTGCAGGGTGTGTTCGTTCTGTTAAAAATGACTCCCTGAGTATGAGAAGTGTTATTGTAATTGCACACAGGTGGGTCATCTTTTATTGAAGTTATCGTTTAAATTCTATCTTGATTCCGCATTTGAAATTTATGACCTGCTTTGCAGGCTTTCTACCATACAAGCAGCAGACAGGATTGTGGTCATGGATAGCGGTAAAATTGTTGAGGTTAGTTAATTCTCTCGTTTCCAACGCCTTCTTTACTTACTGTTATTCCTTGATGTCCCTTTTTGAAGCTTATTTTATTTGATCATCTCATCATCTGTTTTTAGTCTGGATGATCATACGTGTTCTATGTATTAGATTATGAAGCCAGCAACTTTTGCCATATTTCTTTCATTTGTATCTATTATTTCATTTTTCTGGGGAAAGTAATCATAAAACTCACATCAAGAATAAGTATTCCTTAAACTCTCACGAAATATACTGAAACAAACTATTTCCTTTGTGATGGCGAGAAACTATGACATGAGATTTCTGTTTCCTTTATCTTTCCCTGATCTGAAGCCGAACTGTTTGTATCCACACAGATTGGGAGTCACAGTGAACTTCTCTTAAGAGATGGTTTATATGCACGATTGACCAGTAAACAGGCTGACTCGGTGGCATGAGTTTTCATCGATTTTTTGTTGCTTCTTTCTCATCCTCCGCGGTGTCCTGGGACAAGCAATTTTTTCTACTGCTGGACCCATGTGTTGATAGTATTAAACAAGCGAAACTTATGGTTTCATCAAGTACATATATACATCTTGCTGTTGTTTTGGATTGAAGAGTTTGACAGAAGCAGGTTCTTAAAAGGCATAAGCTAACGCATAAAGAAGGGGGCATAACGCTGATAGCCTGAGAGCCAAGCTTGATTGATAGCCAGGAGGCCACCTTGGAGGTTTGCCTGTATGTTCTATTGAATCTATGAATTCATGGATGATGTAAATAACGCATTTCCTGACCTTGGGCAGCCAGTGCACAAGATGTTGCTTTGTGAGTTCTGACAGCCCTTCCCATTTGATGAAATTCTCTATTCGGTAATATCAAATCTGTTTAAACATTATCATGCTCGGTTAATAGTAGTTCTTTTTTCCCAATCTGATCTTCGGAAAAATAGAGTCTTTTTCTACTCAATCCAACCGCCGTTCATGCTAGTATCAGCTTTAAGTTTGTGGTAGTAAATTTTTGTCTTGAAAAAAAAATCTAACGTTGTGTTTGGCTCAAGGGAGGGAAAAGGAAAGGAGGGATTTTAATTAAGAAAAGGGAATAGTAGCTACAAAAGGGAAGGGAGGGTCGGGAAGGATTTTAATGATCTCTTGTTTGAATTGATTGGAGGGGAGGTGAGAGAGCAATTTTAATAATACCTTATTTTGTTCTAATAAGAAATTGATTATTTTGACCTTATAAAATTTAAATAAATTTTCTCACTTTTTTTATTTTGTTAAGATATAATTATATATATAATACAATTCACTAATTTTGATTTACAAGACACAGTCACACACTTATAAGATATCAAGATAAAAAGTTGTGAGTGATAGATTTCAATTAAAAAAAAAAGACCTTGAAGGTGAAAGAAAATACCAACGGCCTCTTGGAATTAGAAGAAGAGAGAAAAAAAATAGGTTTATAAATATTCACTAATTTTGGAAACAATTATCTTGACAACCTCTTACTAAATGTTTAAAAGAATTCTTTTATGGAGAAATATTGACAACTGATTAGGGGTTAACATATTGAAAAGGTATGTAAGGAATTAAAATATTATCTCTCATCTCTCTTTCAAAAAACTCTACTTTTAGAGGGGAGGTTAGAAGAGAAAAGAAGGGTAAATGAGCCCTTCCTTTCTTTCAAAAATATCTTAACCAAACAAGAAGAGGAGAGTTGCTCTCCTCTCCTCCTAAAAAATTGCACCATACAAACAAGGAGAGGATAACAACTCCCCCCTTCCCTCCAAAAACGTTGTACCAAACATAGTGTAAGAGGCAAGAGCTTCGTGACATGAAGAACACTTTGGAGATTTGTCTTGTATTTAATGCGATATCCAATGTTCACAGGAAAAAAAAACGTATTATTGAATAATTTTAATCTGTTTCGCAATTCTTGAATTTTAATATAAATATTTTTTTATTTAAAATATAAATCTCTTATTTCTCCATAACAACAATAACCACAAAGTCTTATAAGATTAACTACATTGACTGCATGATGTAATTAAACTTTATTAATGCCCAAATTTTTGAATAGATTGTTGATAAAAAAATCATATCAATAACTTTATTGAATATTCTCTTTAATTTTTCTTTATCTTATTTTTGTGAATTTTTCTTTTTTTTATAAGACTTCATACTGTTTAATTTATCCTCCTTATTAGTGTGTCCAAAATCAAAGATTTTTTTTTTAATGTAAACAAACCATTGCAAACAATTTTTATAATTTATTTTTATAGAAGTCATTCTAACTTGTTTATTTATATGTTCATTATGAATTTTTTTTTCCTTCGCCTGGCTGCACATTCCCCTCATCTCTGGCTACCTTCACTTTATAGTCATGTTGTAAGCAGTATTCAGTACGTATGGCATTGCTCGTTTTATGGTATAAGGTTCATATTTTGTTGGTAAAAAGTTAGCTTTGTATTTATTATTATTTATTGGGTAAGACAATGAGGCCCAAAAGCTTGGCATCTCAATCCCACCCAGTCTCCTTCCGTTTTTGTTGGGCCTTTTTAACCCCATAGTTTGTACCAAAAAGGGGATTCATATTAATTTGACAATACTCTTTCCGTACTTAATATAAAACTTATTTAATTAATTTGATTAGATTAAAAAAGTTAAATAAGTTAGTTAATTATAAAAAATGTAACATATTTTTTCTAAAATACTATAATCATCTTTTTTAATACTCATTTTCCCTCTTCTACCTAATTACAGTTGAAGAAGTATTCATAAAAATAATTTAACAAAAATTAATAAATATAAAAAATAGTTATTCTATTTTAAGAGCCGAACACACTAAATCTTAATTACTTGCCGGAAGAGTATGAATATGAATATCGATGTATCGAAGCCTTTTGATTCCAAGCGCTAGGCCCCACGGCGACTCTGTGAACCCTCGTCCTCCTAAAATTCCTTCTCCGACGTCCGTTCTTCTCATTCCCTTCCGCTCTCTGGCCCCGCGAACTCTTCCCTGCGGTCCAAATCTACATACCTCATAATCTCGAAATCGAATTCCACCAGCTCAGAGCTACAAGAGAAGGCCCTTCATGGACTCCTTCCAGCAGCCTCACGGTTACATGAGGCCACAGCCACCTCCGCTCCACACGCCGGATCCCAACCACTCTCAGTTTCATCAACATAATCAGATACAACCACCGAGGCAACCGGCCCCTCCTCAAGGCCCTTGGTTCTCCAACCAATTTCAGTACCACCCGTCTCAGACTCCTTCACCTCCACCACAGTGGGCCCCACCACCACCTCCTCCTCCTCCTCCTCCTCACCCCGACCATTTTCCTCTGACGGGTTCGTACATTCCCCACTCTAATACTTATCCCCCTCCCCCTTCCTACCATCTCGGCCAGTTCCCTCCACCTCCGCCCCCTGCTCGCTCCCATGTGTCTCCTCAGTTCCCTCCTTACACCCACATTCCTCAGCATTATCCTCAGGTAAATCTGGTGCTTATGAGCACGTGTTCTTTTCGTCACAGTGGTGCCTTTGTATTTACATCATTGGCTATCTTGTTTTTTTTTTCCTTGAATTATTTTTCTTGGATTAATTAGTTGATAACTTTTTTGAAGATTCCTATAAGTTCATGTATGTGGACTTTGAATGTGAGCTTCTTTTGGTTTAAGATTGTTTGATTGGCTAATCTCGTAATTGCGTCAACTATTCTAGGAATGGAGCACTCCTAACTGGCCTCCCAACCAAAGCTGGGATTATCCAGGTTAGTTGCCGCACTTTTGTACGAGAATCGTTGCTTTTATTTGTAACCTGTGTTTTTGTTTTGTCTTCTCCCATCCTTTTTCTGTACATTTTTTGTTTTGTCATCTTATGTGTTCTTTTTTGTCATGGCGTTTGTAGTTTGTAAGAGTTATTACTAATAAGTGGCTTGACATGCAATAATTGGAAGGGAAATATGATTACATATTTTGTGATTTCTCATGTGTGTTTCTGCTTTACCTTTTAGTCCTCTTCTGCCCCTTTGGGAGTTGCTAAAAACTATTTTCAACCTCTATCTTCTTTTTTAACTAATGGGTTTGTAATTGTAGCGCATAAGAACGAAGAAGACTGGGCTGCCAGAGCCAGAGCATGGGCAGATGCTAAGGCTGCCATGGAAAGCCAGCATCAGCATTCGCAATCACAATTTTCACCTGCTGGAAGATCACAGGAGCAAAGCCATTATCATGATCAGTATCAACAACCTGTTGACTCACGTTATCCTGATATTCAAAACCACTCTCATCCTTCATCTGGCTATCCACAATTTTCCTCTTCAGATGCATCCATGCAACGCCTTCCAGGACATCAGGAGGAGCATGCATCTGTCAGTTCAGAGGCACCCTATGCATCAGATGGACATTTGTCATACAATTCTAGAGATGGAACCACTACTGGAGATCCAACTGTTGCGTTTCAGCACCAAGGAAACCTACCTACGAACACATCAGTTCACCAGCAGGAGGTACCTTCTAGTTATAGTTCTGTTGCAGGTAACTATTTACTTAGTATATTGAATTCGATAGTGAAGCTTTGCTCAAGAATCGTGTTGAAATGGCTCATAAATTAATATTCTAATTTTTTCTTGTAGTATATATGATGACGAATTGAGGACCTGTTGTAAACCAAGCATGTCAATTTGCAAAATATCGTAGCTTCATAAATTTATTGCTCTCTAAGTTTGGTCCAAAGAGAGATCCTTTGACCCTAGCTCGTCCCTGCTATATTTCCTTTGAACAAATATTCTATTACAATCTTTCGGTTATGTGATTGTAATAAGAAGAGGGATTATGTATGGAGTTAGTTAAGGGTAGTTGGGATCTGGGAATGAAGGGGGTTCCATCACAATTGGCTGAGGATGACCAGGCTCTTGACGCCACTGATATATAATAGTAATTGGGAAGGAGAGAGGAAAGGAGAGAGGGGAAGGTAGAGAGGGGGAACAGAGAGAAGAGAGGAATATAGAACAGAGAACAAGAGATAGAGGGAAAGGGAAAACTCAATTCATTATCCAGGCATTCAAGCCTAATTACAATATCGCCAATAGTCATTAACATCACAAATGCATAGTAAATTCCAGGTCCCATCTACCCTTAACTAGCTCCCTAACTAATTCCATTTTACAATTACATAACACCTTGTCTAATAAATATTTTTAGATCAATAAACTAGATCACATTAATATGCTTGAGCAATTGCACTGGTCTAGGCATGACGTGACGAATACATTAGTAGCTGTTTCAAGTAATTTTCTAACATTTTTTTTGGGGTATTAAACATAGGAAACTAACCATCAAATTGCTTGATTCATACCTTGTTAAAGTTGGAAGAGTTTTGTTTATATGTTTAGATTGATTCAGAATTCTCAGCAAAATACGTGTTATATAATGATGGGGCAATATCCAATGTGGACTTCATCATGCATTATGAATCATTATTTGCACGACTGTATGCTAATTTTTTATGAGGGTTGTCATCCCAAGTATTGTAAGTAATCCTTCTGTAGGATGGAACATATTGCTGCTAATATAGCATATCATCGTTGTGGGAACTCATCTTTTTTAGCGCCTCTGCGCCTCACTTGCTGGGACTACCTCATATTGATAATTTGTCACATTTGACAGACGCTAACTTGCCTAGTGAATTGCGTATCACTATGGTGCTTCTTCATTTTAATATTTGATTGGGGGTCATGTTACATTGTTGAAAGATGCTCTAATGGAATCATAGAAAGAATTCTTTTTAACAGATGTTAATGGTATTTTGTTCGAAATTCTGAGCATCAATTAAAATGTAAAATGGGCAGGCCATGCTACTGGGTTTGCATATAAAATTGAGAGAATTGTCAATTTGGTGAATATATTATTTTTTATTCAGTGTTTTCTAATCAGTTAGTGTAGTTTTTGTTCCTTGGTTTAGGTGTAGTTGTAGCATTTTTATGGTGATTATCTAAACGAGAAATTAGAGAAACATTTTTTAGATGCACTTTTATAGTGGTAAAGGATCTCCTAGATATAAATTTGTTTTGTTAGATCTTTGATGAATAATTGATATATAGCATATTTTCCAAGTATGATATTTGAAGTTGGGTTATCATACAAAACGTGAGGAAGCAACAGCATTACTTTGAGGAGTGGAATTCCAGGCATCTGCGGCCTACTTTGAACTTCAAGCATTCTCTTCTTCTGTCAATTATTTCCCAAGTTGACTGATGATTAAAATGACAGGTAATGGAACTGATCATCAGAGTCAGCAATCATACACATCGATGCATTTGTCAAGTTTGTCATCCCAGGAACAACATCATGTGCAGCCATCAGTGCAAGCACCCTTTGCATCTGGTAGCCATTCAGTGGACCCAGCTATCAGTCTTGCTGATCAGCCTCTAGATTTTACACCTAGGTTTAATCGTGATGGTGACCTACAAATGCAATCAACTTATGGTCATCATGATCCAGCTACTTCTATCAGAGGCGTTGATCCTGTAAGTGGAGTGCCTTCAATCAATAATTGGGCTCCTCCAGTGGCACCTGGTGTTGTTTATCCACCCATATCTCCAGTTCTTGCCTCAGGGCCACAGGTCTTGATTTGATTGTCTTTTTGCTCCCTAATTCATGGGTTTCATATGAATATGCTGACATTTAGTACATCTTGCAGCATGACCCTTCTATTACCGCACCTCCTGTTCCTGGGCATGTGGCACCGCCATTTGGAAGGTTTCCTGGATCTGGCCTCCCTCCTCCAATTCCACCAGGTGCTGCACCTTTTGCCCTAAGTGCGGGAACTACAATACATCCCACATCAGCTTTCTCTGTCGATGCTTATGGGGTCTCTGGTGTTCCAGAACGTCCTAAAAAGGTACCTATGCTTTCAAGGTTTGTGCTTGGTTGGATGCATACGTACATACATATTATTAAATCTCATTTGCAATTATTTTTCAGGCCTCAGTACCTAATTGGCTTAGAGAGGAAATAAAGAAAGCTGTTATTGCTACTCCTTCTGCTGAGCACCCTAAGGAGGAATCAAAATTGATGAATGATGGTGTTGATAAGTCATATACAAAGGGTGACGAGCAAGATAGCAAAAGCATTGATTCTTCTAAATCAGCCGAGGAGGAGGAGGAAGATGAAGAGGTTTTATTTTTTACTATAAAGTTTCTTTTTGCTAAACAAGTCTTCTATATATTCTGCAATTTTGATTAATTGTTATATATCAGCTCTGGTTTTTGAAATTTGATCAGCCATGTTCTTTTTATGTAGGATGATGTTGAAGCTGTTCGAACTGCTGCCATTAACCAGGAAATAAAACGCGTGTTAACTGAAGTTCTTTTGAAGGTTAGTTTTGTTAGAAATATTGGTTACCTTATCTCACTACATTTACCTGCTAAAGAGAAGAAAAGGGGGAAAAAGAAAAAGAAAGAAATTCATTTATCCTGTGGTTCTAACTAGAGGTTCATAGCAGGTAACTGATGAGCTTTTTGATGAAATTGCAACTAAAGTTCTTAGGGAAGATGATCTGACTTCTGAAGGTAATATTCTGACGTGCTCTAGTTTTTCCTTTTAAACCCTAGTCTTAATGGACAATTGAATTTTTAACTTTCTGGACTCTTGAACGTTACAAGTTCTGCCTTTTTCTCTTCCAGTGGCTTCAAACCATAAGGCATCAGCATCCCCGCCCTCAGTTCCAGTTCATAAGGCATCCGCAAAGGTTCTAGTTCCAGTTAAAGTCAAAGAACCTGAACACGATGCTGACAATGAAAAATCTAATTCCAGCTCTCCAGGAGATGTTTTAGGTCTTGGGAACTATGCTTCTGATGCTGAGGATGAAGATAATGAAATGGATAGTTCGAGTGTGCTGCCTTTAAAAGATGGTCATCAGGCTGGCATTAAGAATTCATTGAAAGATGTGCATGATGTACCTACTAATAGCAGTTCACTGTTGAAACTTGATGAAAATGGCAGAAGTCAAACAAATTTGGCGATTAATTTGGGCAAAACTAGCAATGGTGTGGCTATTGCAGAGTTGCATGACGAGAAGGTGACAAAAAAATTAGATCATCTACGAGCTTCCAAGAATGTTCCCGAAGATAGGAAGAATGAGCTTAATGCTTTTGAAAGAAAGCATGATAGGACTAATGGAAAGGCTACTGGTGCTGAAAAAGCAACAGAAGATCCTCAAGTTAGGGAAAACAGAAAAAGAATGGAAAAAGCTGATGGACATGGCCAGAATTCTTCAGTGGACTTTGCTAAGGATGTACAAAGTAGTAAGGCTAAGGTAGATGAAAAAGTTAATGAGGATCATAGAAGAAAGGATGAAAGACATCAGAAAAGGGAAAAAGCAGATGGCAGCAATGAGGTAAAAGAAAGGAGGAAGGATGACAGTGCAAGGCATGGGGAGAAGACTAGGGATTCTGAGTCAAGGAAGAAGTCCTCAGTTGCAGATGCCAAGGGAGACAACAAGGAAGCAGAAAAAAGCCGCAGAGGTAGTTCCATGGAAGAAACTAGCCGAAGAAAGGAACATTCAAGGGATAAGGGGGAACACAAATCAAGACACAAAGAGTCAAGCAAGTCTGACAGGCATAAAAGGAAACGTTCATCATCAGTAAGCAGTAGAGGTAGAAGCAGCAGAGACCAGGCGGTTAATCGCACGAGTGAGTCAAGTGATGAAGGCTCAGATGGCTCAAAAAGGTTTTGGACAGAGTTCCCTTAACCTTCTTCGTTTAACTGTAACGTAGAGTGCATCATGACATTGTTGTACTGCAGGAAGCCACATGCCAGAAAACGAGACTTGTCACCATCTCCTGTCAGGTCTAGAAGAAGGTATACTTTATTTAAGCATTCATTATTTATATTCAGGTTTGTGCTATCAATTTTTGGTGTTCAGGTCTTTTAGATACAGAGACGAGCTGTTTTGCTTAAAGCAATTCCTTCTTCCTTCCAGATATAAAAAGAGTAACAATCGTATTAATTATCATTTAGTTTGTGCTTACTTACACAGGTTTCTGTCATATCCTCTTTTTTTTTTTTTTTTGCAAATATAATCTCGGTGGTTGTGGTTAATAACTTTTTGTTTACTTTACTTCTTTTTTTTGTGACATTTTTGTTTACTTATTTTATGTGCGAACTAAGTTGATTCTTTCTTTGGTACCATGGAAGAATTAGAACGTATTTTCTGTTAGTCATATAGCCAAATCCTTTATCTTCTTCTCCATGCGTCTGTTAGCTGCTATTGTGTTATCTTCTTTTTGGCATTTTCATTTCCTGGTTTCAGCCTTAGTTGATGTCTTATGATGCCACAATCACTCGCCTGAATTCTCATAACCGAAAGAACACATCTCACTTTTCATAGGCCAGATGTTTAGCCTAACAATTCTGTATATTCAATTGTTTTATTTTATTTTTCGGGTCAGAAATATATCCGAGCTTTGGATTCTTGCCACTCGGTTAATGCATGTATCATTGCTCATCATTATGCCTCTGCTTGGCTGACTTGTATTATTTACAAGATGATATTATTGCATGAGTGCAACTTTTATGTCAAACTTGCAGAGACTTTAAATTTGAACTAGGGTCCTATCTGGTATGAAGCATTAAAAATAAAAGGTAAGGATTGAGATTGGGATAAAAAAAAAAAGGTTAAAGAGTACTCCTCTAGTTCTTAATAGAAAACTTGGTTGTTAAGTTGATTTTAGTCCTAAATATAAAACTTATTTCTCATATTTATCAGTTTTGTTTAAATTACCCCTATTGATATTTCCTCAACCATAATCAAATAAAAGAGGAAAGGAGGATATTAAAAAAGATAATTATGGTGTTTTAGGAAAAACATGCTATATTTCTTATAATTAACTAACTTACCTAACTTTTTTAATCTAATCAAATTAGTTAAATAGGTCTTATTTAAAGAGCAGAAGAATATTTAGTAGGAGTGATTTCTAGTTACATGGGATTAGACAATCCCATATAAGTGGGATTGGGGAATACTACTTTCCCCTATGGTATTCCCCAATCCCACTTATATGGATTTGTCTAATCCTAAGTAACAAGTAATCACTCATACTAAATACTCTTTTAACATATTTGTTCAATCCTAATTCCAATTATTACCCCTCATTTTTAATGCTTCATATCAAACGGAACCTAGGAGCTGTCAATATTACTAGAGGCTTGACGTGCATTATATTATTTCTTATAATTTTTTTAAAAAATCTTTTAAAATGTAATAATATGATAAATTATGAAAGTAATAAAAAGATTAGGGGCAAGTTAAGTGACTTCTTACATGACAAGTTAGTAGTTGAGACCAAGATGTAAAAGGTCCCAAAGGCATATTAATCCAAATAAATTGTTGTCTTTACTCATCTAGTGATAGTTGATCTATTTAATAGCTAGTTTCTGCTTGCACCTTTTGAGCCTGGGATTTTAGCAATTCCCGTATTTTAAAGCTGAGATCTCATTCAATTTCTTTCTAGCCATTTCCCTGTGCAAGTTATACGGTAAAATTTTATAAATTCTGTGCATCTTACAAGTCAACTAACTGTTTGGGTCATACATGTATCTGCTTGTGATAAAGTACTATTGCATTTCTTTTGTTTACCAGTTATTTATAGCAAGAACTCAATTTTTGATGAACAAAATTGTGGTACACGATGGTTGTTCCGCTCTATCTAATTGAACTAGGAGAGGGTCTCATCAGTTAGTTTTGTAGCTTTTATTGAGGTTTTAGTAGCTAGTAAACTTTGATTGCGTCTTCTACTCTATTAATCGAAAACAGAAAAAGATTTACAGTAACAAGCTGCTTCCTATGGAGTTTTGACTCTGTACAAGGTTGAGTTTTTGTCCTAAACTTTGTGTGCCTTTTAACTCACCAAGTCAGTACGGTGGTTTCATTTTTAGACAAGTTTCGCGGTCTCCTCATAGCAAGCATTCTCAGCGCAGGCATTCTCCCTATTCTTCTCTTGATACTTCCAGGTTTGTTGCCACAAAGTTTTACCTGATTATGATTTAAGTTTTTGAGACAAAACTCCCATCACCACCATCATATAAGAATGAGCTACTCAGGTGAATTTGCCAAGCTTCTTAATATGTGCCTTCTAGAGCTGCCTTGTTTACGTGTTGTTTTTGCTTTTATGCAGGGGAAGGAGATCAAGATCCAGATCACCTGGTCGACGGCATCGATGATTAGCCAGAAATACCTGAATGAAGAGGACGGAGATGGTTGCATCAACGAAATTCAGATGAAAGGACAGACAATTGGAGGGTGTGGGCGTGAAGTCCGAAGGTCGTGTGTGAGAAAGAATATCAGTGAGGTTTCACGAGTAGCACGATTTTTGTAAGTCAGATACATCCATACCCCGTTATTTTATTGGGTTCTGCCCTTCTCAAGGGAGAAATACATAGTGGAAACGGTGATAGGAATGTCTTTTCGCTTTGGTGGCAAGGTTTTGATGTAAAGAAAGGGAAAAAAAATCTATGGTCTCTAGTATCTCCCATCTTGTTTGCTGGAAGTCTGTTTGTATGTAGCCATGTCAATGTCCTGGTTTTGGCGACATATGCAATAGAGGGCAATGAAATTTGATTCTGAATGTATGTCCTCGCTGCATGATTAGGCATTGCAAATCACTTGGTCACTGCCCTGTTTTTCTACTTCATAAGCAGATTACTTGTGTCAAATTTAGGCCTTGTTTAGCCTAGGGAAAAAAATTACTTTTTTTAGCCCGAGTCTGAATTAGTTTATTTTATGAAATTGATTAAAAAAAGCATACAATTATTCCTTACCTTTTGAACTAATTTTATTCTTTTTTCTTGTCATTAAGGCAAGTGTATCTTTAACTTTGTTTCTTAATGTTTGAAAAATCTTAATTCCTATTTGTTTCATAATTTATCTGTGTATGAGAAATCGCATTCTCAATACGTTACTAATAATAGAATTTGATTTAAATTCCATGCAAAGAAGAGGAATCACATCCTACTTTCGTTTGAAGCAAGCATCACGATTGTACCATATGTTAGATAAGTAAATAATCCATATCCGTCAATTTTCAACATTTTATCTCAGGTCAAAAAAAATTCAGTATTTTATCGCGATCAATTTTGATTATTTTTAATACTTGCTCGCTCTCGTTTTTGTACTTATTCGCGCACGTTTTTCTGTGCGTGTTTCTATACGGTCGACTTAACATTAACCTTATGTTTGGTGGCGAGGGAAATGATGGGAAAAAATAGAAGAAAAAATTTTAATAAGTTATATTTAAAAAAATTGGAGAATTAAGGTTTTAAAAAGATAACATTATACCGATTTTGAAAGAGTTCAATAGTGTGTATGTTGTTCAATAATTTTCCTTAGGACCCATGGCTCTTTTACGAACACTTTTGAAGTAATAATGGGTCCATTTGAATTAGTGATAGGAAAAATAATTTACTTTTAATTTAATTTTTAAAAAGTTAAATTGTTTAATATAATTTATATTTGAATTGAATTTTATAAAAATTAGTTTGTAAAAATTAGATTGGATAAAAAATTGTTTAGATTATGATTGAATAAAAAGTAAGTTATAAGTAAGATAGGCCTATAAGTAACTTTTAATAAGTTATAAGTAGTTTTTTTTTAACTTAAGGCAATCCTGCTTCTGAATGTAACTTTTAGCTTATAAGATAGGCCAAATTTTAAAAAAATAATCATAATAAGATAGGCCAAAAGCCAGGTACTAAAATTCTAAACATGCTTAATAAGTTGAAATAAGTAACTTTAGGGCTCCTGAACCATTCTGCCAGACAGACTCAATAGACTCAATAGCACGACTTTAGAATAAAACCTAATTCTAACATTATAAAAGGCAACCAAAGACAAAAATCTAACATTATGAACTTAATTTCACCAAAGCGCATAATCACATCAACCGTAAACATTGGTATGGCCAAGAGCTCAAAAACTATTATTCCTTAAAAATATAAAATTAATAATTTTTCGGGAAAATCAGGATCATCCCATGATGAGCTTTAAATACTTATAATTTTTAAATTAAATTATCTTTAAATCAGGATCAAAATAGATATTTTCATGTTAATAGTGGATATTGAATTGATTAACACTAATTTTCTGCACACCGTATCAACAAATGATGTCGGTCTTTGAACGAAACGTATGTTTAACGCCGGCAAAAAAAAAAAAAAGGGAATGAAACGTATTTGGAAAGCGTTCGGCCTTTCCTTGAACAAATATTGTTATAGCGTTAGTTTTTGTCATTTAGCAGGTTTGACTTTTGACTTTGGGGATCTTCACGTAGCCTTCTCTGATCTCCTCCCTCCATTGAGAATTCCATTATTCAATTCAATTCAAAATGAAGATCTTTCCTCAATGGAAGCTGACGTGCTTGCAACGCCAAACCTCACATGTCCCATCGCCTTCCCGTCTCGGTGCTTCTGCTCCCACCGGCTTCGTGGGTTTGTTACTTCTGCATTTCTTTACCTTCTTTCCGTTAAAGTCTCATTTCCTCTCTCTCCTTATTACCAAACTCACACTCAATAATACAATCGTTTAAACCCGAATGTTGAGCTCATTGTGAGCTCAACAACACAACAATGAAGGTCCTTCCTCTCTTCCTTTGAGTTCTATTGAGTTTATTTGAACACTTGTGAGTTGCATTTTTATTCGTCTTCTTTGTTTCTTATTGTGTTTATCTTGGATCTAATTGACAGGCATTTCAGCTGGAGCTATGGTTGATTTGGCTATCTGGATTTATCTTGATTGGCCTCTCTCTGTATGCCACTCAAAAGTTACCTTCGCTTAAGGATCAGATCAGAACTCCCAAGATAAACCCAAATACTGTATTGCATTCGAGAAATCTCAATATCACTATATTTACAGCGCCTAAACCTTTCACGGGCTCTGCTGGCACCAGGCAGACTCTAGCTGTTCGATCATGGCTCGCTTTATCTCCACATGTTTCTGTTGTTCTGTACAGCCAAGACCCATCCGTTGCCTCTTTCTCCGCCGCTTTTGGTTCCCGCGTTCTGGTTAATACTGACATTGATTTCACGTAAGTAATGCTATAACTCTGCATATTCCAATACAGAGAAGAAATAAACGTTTCATGGATGTGCTGCATTACTAATGGACACTCATAATTCAAATTTCGGAAAGCGGTCGCAGGTGTCAATTATCTGAGAACGAAAATTTATTCTTCACAAGGGGGGAAAAGAAGACATTTATAATTATGTTCCTTATTCATTGACATATATGTGTGTGTGTAATTATTGAACCAGAGAAAAGGGATTTGAAGTTTAAAAGCTGAGCCTATTAGTTAGTGATCAATGCAAGTGGGTAAGCATGTTGATACAATCTCAGGGCATCGTAAGTTACTGAAGCCAAATTCTTAAGGGATTATTAACCAAAGTGAAACGCGGCTGCAGCATTGGGAAGCAGGGTATCTATTCCAAAATTTAGAAAAGTTTTATCTTTTGCATGTTTAGTTATTTAACAAGAAAGCAACTAGGGTCAATTATTTCATAAGCTTTAAAATAAGATATAATGATTCATTTTTGGTATCAAAACTGTGAAAATAAGGTAAAGCGGTGTTGCTTACTCTGCAGGGTAAGCTCCAAGTTACTGTCTTCTAATATATGCTTTTTATGCATCCAGCTTCCTTGGTACTCCATTCTTCCATTCCATGATTGCAAAATCACGCTCGTTCACTTCAGACGTATATGTTATAGTTGATCCCGAAACCATTATCGTTTCTGGATTCATCTCCACCCTAAATCGTGCATTTGAACTTGACCATGATTGGCTTCTTGTTGCTTCATCTCGAAATGCTTCTTACTTTCCATTCCACTTGGACAACTCTGGAAAACATTGGCAAACAGATAATGGGAAACGGGTGCAGATCCAAGAGGTATGAAAGAATTTCCAGAACAGAACCTGAAGGACTGTTCCGTGTTTTCCAGAAGTAAATCAATAAAATTTAACTCATATCTTGTTCTTTCAGCTGCGGGAAATACTTCAAAAGGATTGGCAATGGAATCATTGTGATACAAAAATGCTCATAGCGTGGAACAACGGGGACATGCCCCTACATAATGGAGTTCTTCCTCCTTTCTTATTCGGGAGAAATGTACATAATAGTTGGATAATCCATGAGGCTCTATCATCTGAGTTCAGATTGGTGATTGATGCTAGCTGGACCATCACAAGCCTCCATCTGGATGGTCAGGATGATTTCCATCCTACAGTTACGGATTCTACCACTTTAGATATTGAAAGCCGAAAATGGGAGTACATGGGCAATTCCCATCTAGGGTCACGCTACGGCTCATTCTTTTATAATGAAGCTAACTATTCTAGCCTGCTTAAACTTTTCAGATGTGGTGATCAATATTTTATAATTGACAGACTGAAAAATAGTGTCTATCTAATTGGACGTCGAGGTGAAGTGAGACAGTGGAAGGGGAATATCTTCCATTCTTGGTTAAAGAAAAGCACAGTAACTTGCATTGCTGACCGGAGATCACTGGCCGGATTATTAGAGTACCCTTTCAAAGATAAGATGTTGCATTCTGCACCTTTGGAACTTCCATTCTCCTTAGAATCACTCCTGTCTGTTACTGCAGACAAAAATAAGACGATTGTAGTTACAGTTGCTGGATATAGTTACAAGGACATGCTCATGAGTTGGGTTTGTAGATTGCGTCACCTCTCCATTGCAAATTTTATAGTTTGTGCTCTTGATCAGGAAACCTATCAATTCTCGATCTTGCAGGTATAGTGCAGTTTCTTTGGAAGAATATAATTTGCGTATATTCTAACTTATTCGTGCGGAATTATGGAGTTTCTTAAACATGTTATATTGGTGTTTTACACAAACCTGAGACCTAGTGAACTGATCACATTGGTTGGAGTTACGGTGATGAACCTTGAAAATCTAGCTAATAGCCCTCTACAATGTTGCATTAGTTACTTCGAATTTTTTCCCCTTTCAAGAACTGAGTCATAGTTATACCCTACATAAACTCCTAGCCTTAATTGTTAAATAACCGTAAAAGAACTGAGTCACACTATGATTTATGAATTTTTGTTTTGTTTGGCCAAGAGATTTTTGACATTTCTAGTGTTTTGATTTGATACCACCATTTATATGACCTTACAAGCTTATTGGACTATTTAAAAGCAGTCAGGTTTATGCGTCTGAATTTGATTTTCCTCTTTTCTCCTTCACTTTTATGGCAGGGAATTCCTGTTTTCAGGGATCCTTTAGCTCCAAGTAATATTAGCTTTAATGATTGCCACTTCGGAACAAAGTGCTTTCAGATGGTGACGAAGGTGAAGTCCAGATTAGTTTTGAAGATCCTCAAGCTAGGTTACAATGTACTTCTCAGTGATGTCGATGTATATTGGTTTAAAAACCCAGTTCCATTGCTTCAATCTTTTGGCCCTGCGGTTCTTGCTGCACAGTCTGATGAATTCAAGAAGGAAGGTCAGCATCCCTCAGTTAAGATTCACATTCTATTTTTCATAATTCAGGACATAAAATACTTGTATAAAAATGAATTGAGTGAGAAACATCGTAATGCGTAGTCATATGGTAATGAAATCTCCATTCTTTCGCCATATAGGAAAACAATCTTGAGGGAAGGTGGATTATTAGCTGTTATTTTCCTTGTTAAGAAAGATAATCCCACATATGCAGGACCAATAAACCTACCAAGACGTTTGAACTCTGGCTTCTATTATGCTCATTCCGATAATCAAACAATTGCTGCTATGGAGAAAGTGGTGAAACATGCAGCAACTTCAGGCTTATCTGAGCAGCCAAGCTTTTATGACATGTTATGTGGGGAAGGTGGAATCAACAGAGCAGGTGATAAAAGATGTATGGAGCCTGAAACAAACGTGACAGTATATTTTTTAGACAGAGACCTTTTTCCAAACGGTGCTTACCTAGATTTGTGGCAGAGCAAAGATGTCAAAGCAGCGTGTTTGAGGAAGGGATGTGTAGTTATTCATAACAACTGGATCAGTGGGAGGCTGAAGAAGTTGGAGCGACAAGTCTTGTCAGGTTTATGGGAGTACGATCCCGGCACAAGGATGTGTCTGCAGAGCTGACACCGTATCAAGATTGAAGTTAATTTCGAGAAGCGTGGATCCTTTCTCATCCTCTCTAGGCAAAATTTTTGTTCTCACTCTAGGAAGAATGACAAAGAAACCATTTACCTCCTTCACACGCATATGTTTAAGAATGTGCTGATCCTTGGTTTTATCATTGGTGACGTGGGGGAAATATTATTTTAGTGGCTGGCCGGCCATTGGAAACAAGAGGAATCTGTGGTGGCTAAATGTTCAAATATCATTGACTTTGATCACGCTTAGACCCTACCCAACATTATCCATCAGTAACTAGGTGAGAATGAAAGATTGGGGTCACACTGGCTGCAGGCTATGCTCAAGCGCGTTGCTTACTCGTTAGGCCTGGTGGAGAAGAATGATAAAGATCCCAGAAGAAAGAGCCAGCTGAGAGGAACTAAGGCATCCCCAGACTACAGCTTTCAAAAATCAAATGATATTTTTGTGAGGATAGTTCATGGAGGTGGAAAACAAGAGCTGTATCAAGATGCAATCCTTGCATCCAAGTTGATGGAAAAATATCCTGGCATGTGTGTTGCCCGGCCAGAAGTCTTCAAAAATCCTCACCAGTCAGTGTTGTGGCCAGAAGAGCGTTTGCTTCCTGGTAAAAAATATATTATAATCTCGTTTCGAGATGTGGGGAAGCTGAAACGTAAACTTTCAGAGGAAGGCAAAATCAGAGAGCCTAATGGGGTGGCTCCAGAGTTACTGAAAGTGAATATCACCAAGTCTCCAAAGGGACATAGCAGAGAAAATGGTAAATCCGAAGTTCACAATGAGGTAGGACAAGAGGAGTTCGAGGCCAAGACTTCCTTGTCTCCTGGTGGACGCAAAACAGAAGAGAACAGAAAAATCAAAATTGTATTGGACGCAAACGCAAAACAGTCTCTTGATGATGGATCTGAAAATGAACCTGTCTGCTCTTCAGAGGGCTTACACGGGTCCTGGGATAAGCGATATCCAAGACGAAAAGGAATAAAAGGAAAGAAGCCTTTTGTGCCACCTCTTCCAAGGGTAAGACCATATCGGATTTCGGGATGGCAACCCAGCCTCCCAAGTGTGCCAGAGCTCTCCCCGTGATTTTGTTATGGTTTAATGGTTTTACTTGTACGACTTGGCCATATAATATAGTTTTAACATTTATACGACTAGAGTCATTGATTTCTTTTGCTCGGTTCTAAATAATAGCTTTTACATCCTATAATAATGTAGAAATATCAAACTTCTTTTGATCTTTTCAGATGCATTATTTACCTCAGGATCTTTGCTAATATCTGCACATGATTTCCTGATTTGATGGTCACCTCTATCCAAGTTTGTTGGTATGGGTTTTATTGATGGCATAGAGTTCAAAATCGGTGTTCTACACACGGTCCTTTCGCCGATTTCTTAAATTCTAAAACGCGTTCTATGATGGGAAAGTAATAATTGCCATGCGAGCACTCTTGTTTTGCTAATCCACAAAGCGCCGGTCTAGGCTTCAACAAAAATTCATGGTTAACAGGGCTACTTTACACTAATGAAGAATTTTTCAACATTATTCAGGGACTTAGAATAAAGATAGAAGAAAAAAGGGGAAACACTATCAATTACACATGGCTGCTCCATGCGAAGCATGGTTTTTCCCAGTGGATGGGCCTCAATATTTACACTCCTGAAATTTGGTACTCTTGATGAGCTTTTGTCGGATACAGAGTCATAAAACGCTGCAGGAGATAGTTTCTTCAATCCCAAGAGGAACCGAGCTCGCCAGGCTTAGGTATTGAGCAATGATCTGAAACTTAAAAGACGTACCCTCTCCCAACTAATGAATCATAAGGAGCCTCATTGTTTAGAACACATCTGGTACCCCACTATCCTCTTCTCCGATATGTACCACAAGAAATCTGTCCTTCATGGTCACACACATACGTTGTTGTTCATATCTTGGAAGGTACTCTCATAAAATACAAGACAAAACCTTAGTCAAGATCCAGGTATAGAAGACGCAAAGAAAAGCACCAACAGGAATAGTTACAGCCCAAGAAGCCACAATCTCCTTCACAGTTTCTGATCTAACACTGTTAAGACCCCTTGCAAATCCCACCCCCATTACTGCACCAACTAGAGTATGGGTAGCTGAGATAGGCAGCCCTAACTTTGAAGCAAACAGAACCACAGAGGCAGCAGCAAACTCAGCGGCAAATCCTCTAGTTGGTGTGAGTTCTGTTATTTTCTTTCCAATTGTAGCTATAACTCTATAACCCCACATCATAAGCCCTGCAACAATTCCAAATCCTCCCCATGCTAGAACATCAATCGGAATAACAATCTCAGTTCCCGTGATATTACCTTGAAGAATGGCTAATGCAGCTGCCAAAGGACCGATAGCATTGGAGACATCATTCCCACCATGAGCAAATGACATGAAGCATGCAGAGAGAACCTGCATGTACCCAAAGACCCCATAAACTATTTCTAACTGAGTACCCTTTGGGCCAGCAACATCAGAGAGAAAACCCATGTTTTTGTGAGCGGTGTCCTCTTTTGGCTCAGGCTGTCGGCTAGTAGTCTTGACCAGTAGATGACCAAGTTGCTTTCTGATGATTCTATCGACCACAAAAGCACCGGCAGCTCCACAGGCTAAAGCCTGAACCAAAGCCATAGGAAAACTCTTGCTGAGAGGGAAGGCAGCAAAAGAAATCCCAGTAACACCAAGAAATACAGCAATTGGTGCTGCAGCAGCTGCTGCTTGTCCTGGATTTGGGGCACTGTACACAAACTGAATGAGACAGAAGGTTAGGGGTTGCAACAGCAAGAATTTAACATAAGATATCGCCAATAATATCATGTTTTTAAGAAATGTGGGGAATTGAAAAGAAAATTGTTCATTAATCACTAACATGAATTAATGAAAAGAAAAAGGTAACATTTTCAGGAATGTCAGAAAGTTTACAAGCCAAAACCAACTCAACAAACGTGAAATCTTGATACAGGAGAGGTATTACTGTCATTCTGTCAACAAGCTGTATGGAGTCCTAGATATCAAGAGCATACCCTTCTTATACATTTGTAGACAAGAAATGACACAGCTGCTCCCATTAGCGGAGAGATAACCCATGAAGAAGTCACCTTTGCCAGGGATCCCCAGAAAACTGCTCCAGATCCTCCATAGACAAGACCAAACCCCACCATAGCTCCTACTATACAATGAGTAGTAGACACTGGCCAACCAAAATATGATGAAACCTGCACTACACAGGATAGTAGAGAGCTAACAATATCATTGGACTGTTTGCATATCCCAAAGAAAAGTAGTTCCTTTTTTCAAGTATTTCAGGAGACAAATATTATTGGTTCCATACTGCCATAAATCTCAATGAAGAGGTGCATCTTGCAAAAGGAGGAATTGTACAGTAATATTTATGCTGCTTAGAGGAATTTGTAAAGACACAATATCTTAGCCCAATTGAGTCCCAGGTAAGCATGAAGTAGACATGGAGTCATCAGCTGCAAATATGAAGGAAATTTAGTTTCAAACTACGTTTTTGGTATTGGCTGCTCCTTTCATATCCTTTTAGTGAAGGAACTCGGTTGAGACAAAATAACATGCAAAGAGAAGGCTTGGAGAAATTCCTGATCAAACATTGAAGATCTTCATAGCATATGTATGACACATTTAAAATATACCCTCCCATGGAAAAAGAAAACTACAAAAGTCTCTATTCTTCCGAATTTTTAACTTGTCAATCATTCAATACAATGATTATTGGGCAGTTGTTCACACTTACGTTTCCAATTTCATACTCAACACCTGATCATTAAGAAAGGGAATAATGTCTTAAAATGCTATCATGTGTTTATTTGAACTAGCAGCAGACTGTGTAGGAAAACTGCCTATAGAAAATAAGAGATGCAACATTCTTTTGAAAACCGATTTGACCTCACCCATAAAAGGGGAAAAAGGTTGCATAATGTCTTAGGAAAACTATTCTCTTGATATGCCCAAATGAATTAATCAACTTAACAAATACCTCTTGTTATTATCTCCCCTTTTGTCTTTCCTAAGGATGTCTCTTGCTTGGTAAAATTATCAATAAATACACAAAAAACAACTAACGAGACAGGATGTTATACATATGTGAACTACGGCACAAATATCATAGCAAAATTCCGTAGAGGTTACCTGTAACCACGAACCAGCAGAAGCAAGTGAAGAGAGCAGTCCAGCTAGAAGGAGAGTATGTTTCCCCTCAAACACGTTAGTCACTAGAATTCCCTTCTGCATCGTGTTGGTCACGTGCGTCCCCATCAACAACGCCCCTGAAAACTCCAGCACTCCCGCCGTCAGCACCGCCTGCCGGAGCGTCAACGCCCCCGACCCCACCGACGTTCCCATGGCATTCGCCACGTCATTGGCCCCGATATTCCAAGCCATGTAAAACCCAAACAGAAGGGTAACATAAGATAGCAATTTAGTCTTCAAAGCCAATCCCTGGCCAAGGGATTTCATGAAGAAAGGAGAAGCAAGAGCAGCAAATGCTATGCATATCGAAATCCCATAAGCCGCGCTGGGAGATATGTGGAAGGCTTGAGCAATTCCTGGCAAGTGATCGTCGTCGTCGTTCACCTGATGCCGCCCATTGAGCTGAATCTCCTGTTTCTGCTTCTCTTCGCCTTCGGCTTCGGCGAAAGAGGATAAAGTAGCAAATGGGTGTGTGAGTTTGGAGTTGTTAATCCTGAGAATGGTAAATGAAGGCTTCGGTGGTGACGGTAGAGGGTTGAAGAGAAAAGCGGAAGTGTTGTGGGGCGGGAGGGGATTGGAATTTCGAAGAAGACAGGATCGCGGAGGAGAGGTGTGCTTGGAGAAAGAGAATCTGCAAGTGGGATTCATGTTGCATAGAGAGGAATATAATGAAAAGGAGGAAGAGAGAGGGATGAGAGATGGAAGTAGGAATGGGGTTAGTGATGAAGGAGAGAAGGAGGTGGTGGTGGAGAAAAAGTAGAAGAATGTGGGAGAGAGCATGGTTGATGTGGGTGAAGGAAGTTGAGAGAGGATTTGGCTTGTTGCTCTGCTTAATGGAAATGAGTGGCGATCGTCGGGTGCTCGGGGAACCCTTGAGAGGAAGATAGCCCACGTATCCACTTCTCAGATTCTGGATGATCCCCTCTGGCGCAAAAACAAGGAATCTTGAGGTGGATAACAATATATTAATTTTTTTTTAATTTTTTAATTATTTATTCTCTTTCTTTTATATTCTTTCTTATTACATTTTATGCATTTCTTTTAATCTTTTTTTTTATTTATTATAAGGGTAAATTTAAAAATAAGATTATATTTCCAACATATTTTTTATTTTTAACTAATTTTTACTAATTATTTATTATCTATAAATTAGTTATTTAAAGTTTATATATAAAACGGGAAGGAGTATTATTCTATGCATTTGATTTGACTAATTTTTGCTTAAAAAAATCATCACATGCATGCTCTTTTCAAGGGGAAAAAATCCGATTTTAAGTGTTGGTCATAAAAAAATACAAATGACCAGTTATGGAGCTTTTTACAACTAATTTATCGACTTGGGTTAATTTCAATTAATTAGTGTGTGACTTATCGAAGCTTGCCTCTTTTACCTGGAAAAAAAAAGGCATGACTTATTTGAAGCAAAAAATATATATATTGATCAAAATGTTATAATTTATTAGGCAAATTAAACTAGTGATATATTACAGAGTTAAGTTAAATAAATCATATATTTTTTCAGCTTTGTAAATATGAAACACGGCTATAGATTTGATTTTATATATATATAGATAATTTAATTAATTTGATATGTTGATGCTAATTGTCTAATAAGATGGTTCTTCTTGTTGGTCCAATATTGCACGGATTTATATCCCCGATATTCAAGCATTACGGGTTTGGGTTGTGTTCAAATTTTTTTATTTAAAAAAAAAAGTGGTATTATGGGATTGAGCATGACAGGCACGAGGCCTCGGTTCTACGAGGACGTCAATCGAAACATGGGCTTCCTTTTCGAGCGAAGGATAGGCCCATTTCATGCCCTTCATTTTATACCGCAAGATAACAGTGCTGGGCCATGGATTTTTAAACTAAAAATTAAGCCTACAGCAACAAGAGATTATGTTCGTTGGGAGCGATACTTATACTTAGTGCTTGACAATATTTCAAACAAGATTATTTCTAATAAGAGAATACTTGTTTCTATATTAAAAAAAAAAAAGGAGATTATGTTTCATGATTCGCCTCCTCTTGGATGAAAGATGGGGAATGAACAGGTGCGCCAAATTGTCTCTCTGGGTTCATGAGATTTTCCCAGCTAAGGCTGCAAGCAGAATTAATTGGAAAGGTCCAGTCTCTAGTTACAAGCATAACGAGTTTTTAAAAGGAAAGCACTGGTGAGAATATACTGAATGGAGTCACAGTACAAACTTATTAAACAGTGGTCCAAGTACAACAAGGAGAAGCAAAGCCTGAGAATGGGGATACACGTCCTAAGGAATGGTAATAGGATGGGTAGTCTTTCGGTGCCTTGTATAGAGTTGGAGAATGAACGTGCTGATGAAGGAAAAGGACAGGTGGCAGTACATTGAATGCTAGTACAAGACCCGAGTTAAGTGAATCGTATTTGAGCGTCTCGTCGGATTGTGTTCCCAGGCACAAATTTAAGGAGAAAGCCATTGAAATTATAAATAAAAAGACACGTGTGCTTAACACACACACACGAAAGCTGGCACTTCACTTGGCTTGTTTTTGGTCAAAAACTTGTGGACAGCTTTTTTTGAATATCAGCCTCTTAATAAAAATATCGATATTACAGACACAAGACTAAAAAGAAAGAAAAGAGAATTACAATCACGTCTCATAAAAAAAATAATAAAACAAATATCAGATATTATTATTTTTTATTGTAGGATTTGTCATTACAGGCTACTCAGGTTGTTATTAGAATCTTTTAGTAATTATTTTTCTTCTTGATACTTCCCTTCGTCTCTTATACTTTTTAACTAAATTACATGTTTTAAAAAACAATAAAATTAGTTTAAAACAATTAATATGTAGTAAATATAATTTTTTCCTAAATATATCTCTATAGATAAATGGATAAATATGATAGAGTAATAGTGAGATAAATGAATAAAGAGAATATATCAAATATATAAATTATAAGTAAAATATAATAATACATTAAATATTTAGATAAACTCAAAGGAAATTTTATATAAAAAAATAAACACATTCAAAAAAAATTAAATTTTATAATAAAAACGGAAGGAATATGACTCATGAAGTTGGGATCCGTAGATGTGGGGGTGAAGGCCATGACTGGGCGGCACAAGCAAGCAGCCACTGGCCACAAACACACGCCTCTCAAAAGTATGGGAAAGAATATCCTAAGAATCTCCCTTTTTCTGAAACGGAGGGTGCCGCCGGGGCATTTGGCCGCTAAAATCCTGGGCGGCAAGAACCCAACATTGAGATAATTGAGGCCACAAGTTCATGGCTCGCTCTCCGTATCCTCGCCACGTTGAGCCTACCGACCTGCTTATGAAAAATCCCTTCAACAGGACAGCCGACTCGGACCACCCCAATTTCCTCGACCACTGTCCAAATTTGCGGTGGATTTTCTTCAAAATAATTAACATTAATATTATATAAAAAAATTTAAAAAAATAAAAAAAATTATAAAATGGCTTAAAAGGGCCGGCCCTTTTAAGCCATCGGCCCTCCAGGGCTTATTTCTTATTTTAAGAGAAAAATATCAAGCCCGACCCTCATAATTTCAGGACCTAAAAGGGCCGGCCCGATGGGCTCGACCTGTTTTCCCGGCTCTAACAAGCAGCCACTGGCCACAAACACACGCCTCTCAAAAGTATGGGAATGAATATCCTAAGAATCCCCCTTTTTCTGAAACGGAGGGTGCCGCCGGGGCATTTGGCCGCTAAAATCCTGGGCGGCAAGAACCCAACATTGAGATAATTGAGGCCACAAGTTCATGGCTCGCTCTCCGCATCCTCGCCACGTTGAGCCTACCGACCTGCTTATGAAAAATCCCTTCAACAGGACAGCCGACTCGGACCACCCCAATTTCCTCGACCACTGTCCAAATTTGCGGTGGATTTTCTTCAAAATAATCCATTCATGTTGAATTATTCACAACCAGATACGTGTTTGTTTTCTTCCAAATACAAATTTATATTACTCCTAATTTTAAATATAAAAACTAAACAATAATTTACTTTAGTTCTAAATATAACATTTTAATCTATTTATTTTTTAAACGTATAATTTTTTTTTAAAGTATTCTTATTTATTACTTATTTCTCAGGTAATTTTAACGCACATAGTTAAAGAGAATATTTTTATTTTAAAGAAATTAATACGCACACATCTTATTTAATTATTTTTCATAAAAAATAGTATAAATAATAGCGTGGTGGCAAGATATATTTTTAAAAAAATGTTAAAATGACATTACCTTTGATCATAATTATAAAACCTCATTTAATTAAAGTTTTATAATTAGGGTCGGACTTAGTACTACCTCCGGTCCTTAATATAAGACTCTATTTACTTTTTATTTTGATCATAAATATAAGACCATAATCTATTTTGTCTCTCATATTTATACATTTTTTTAAGATAGTCCTTCTAATAATAGTGGTTCTAGCCAATATGGTTGATTAGTAAGGATATTTTAAGAAAGACAATACGTATTTATTACAAATAACTAACTTAACTTATTTCATTAATCTCTTTAAATTAGTCAATTAGGTCTTATAATTACAACCAGATAGTACTACCTCCGGTCCTAATTATAAGATCCAGTTGACTAATTTGAGGAGATTAAGGAAGTAAGTTAAGTTAGTTATTTGTAATAAATAAGTGTTGTCATTCCTAAAATATCCTTGCTAATTAAGTGTATTGGCTAGAACTATCATTATTAGAAGGACTATCTTGGAAAAAAATACATAAATATGAGAGACAAAATGGATTGGGGTCTTATAATTAGGATCAAACAAAAAGTCAAACGAGATTTTATATTAAGGACCAGAAGTAGTATTATATTAGATGGACAAGTGTGCAAGTGGAGCACCCATGGAATAAAAAGGGGCATTTGGGGTATGCATGCATGATTGAAGATTGTGATGATGTCGGCTCACTAAGGATAAGAAGATAAAAGAAGGACCCGCTTGACATCATTGGCCAATTAACCCATTTGATCTGCCAAATTCACATGTCATCTCTTCCCTGGCTCATGTACGTAGGACCCAAGGGAATCGATTCCTTAAAGGAGTGTTGTTATTAAACAAAAGGTTGTTTAATTATTATGCTCAGGGTTTTGAAATTAATTATATGATATCAAATAAAAGGCTTATTAAAAAAATCAGCTTTTTAAAGGAAAATATTAATTCCAGCTGAAAATAAATGGTTTTCTAATGAGAAGGCGAGATGTATGAACTTTTCATATGCACCCCGGCGATAAGCTGAGAATGCGTTTTATAGAATAAAAAATTATTTTATCCCACATGTTTGTATCACTTAATCATCATGAAAGGAAGGCAGCTTATCATCGTTCTTTAATACCCACATAATATTCTAGCTTTTCTTCGTGATTTTCATGCTTCTTCCATTTAAATTAACTCGTTTTAATGTATTTTCTAAATTTTTAGGAGATAATTATGTTTCTATTTGTTCGAGCACTTTGTCAACTTTTTTGCATCTTAATATATCATCTCTCTCTCTCTCTCTCTCTCTAAAGCATATGCAAATCATGGACTTGATCTTTAAATTATCGTATGATGTTGAGAACCAATTTTAGTACTCATTGTAATGATGAACATAATCTACATAATTCAGATACAGTTTTAGTGATGTCGATTTAAAATTTTTAACAAACAATTTTTAAATAAAAAATAGTTTTTAAAAAACTTACAATAATTAAAAGATTACATCTATTTTGGATTACCTACTTCTTAAATAAAAATATTTTTAAAAAATAAAATAAAAAAAATAAATTTTAACTGTTTATATTAAATTTGAATAGTTGA